AGTCAAGAAGACTGTTTTGTCATGAGGCATGTAGGAAATTATGAAGACCAAATAAAGTCCATTAACTCTTTTTTAAAGGGCAGTGTGGTAACTACTCCTGCAATCCCAGCACTCAGGAGCCTAAGGAGGATCTCAACTTTGAGGACAGGTTAGATTACAAGATGATTTTCTGTTAAAAACAAAACAAGGGCCTGGAGAGATGGCTCAGTGTTTTAAAGTGCTTAAGGTTCTTGCCTAGGACCCAAGTTTGATTCCCAGCATCCACAGGTAGTCATGTCCACCTTTAACTCCCTGCTTCAGGGGATGTGATGCCCTCTTCTGGCCTCCATGGACACCCCCACACAAGAACACACACACATACACACACACACACTCACAACCAACCAACCAACAGATAAATAAAAGAAATCTTTATGGGCAAAGCAATCTTTGTTGAACGATAAGGATCTAGACATCTGAGACTTGGGTTTTTCTTCCTGTGTTGGTGGTGAATTTTTGAGTAGCAGCTTCTGTTTGCTTGCAGTGTCTTTAACTACGAAGCTCTACAAGAATGTAAGCTAGTCTTAAAGGGCCCCTTCCTCCTCTCCCTCCTCCTATTGCTCCTTCCCCCTCCTCCTATTAAGGAGCTATTGATATTTTGTAAATACATTTACAAATCTGTTTGTACCCCCACTTGACCCCCACAAGCGTTGCTTGGGCACTGGCTTTTTATTACAAAGGACATCCAAATGAACATTAGTCCTGTTCTCGAGTCCATTTCCCACATATTGACTTCTCAGTGTAATAAGCAAAACAGCATTTCTTTTTCCTCTCACCTTAGCCGTCCATTGCAGCATAACTCACTCCTCTCATCTCTCCTAGAGTATATTGTTCCACCATTTTTTTTCAAATGTTGGGATTCTTTTCACTTATTTTTAAACAAAGAATCCGTTCTACAAGGAAAGCAGAATGCTGTCTGAGCTGCCATTCTTATTTATTTGAAAGGAAACAATGGCTTTTTGAAGCAATAACTCACCTACCCAGAGGTCATTTTTCCAATAGTCTCAGCCACAGAGAACGCGGCTCAGGAAAAAGGGCTCTGAGCAGCTGAAATAAACACCACAGAGCTCGTTCACAAAGCTATCGGAGTTCATTTCCACCTTCTTACTGTCAGTCAACAAACATCTCCTGTTCTACACAAGATCCCTGTGAATCTGACAAGCTGCTTCCTTAGCTCCTAGAAGATTAGAGACAACTTTTTGAAGGGGATCAAGAGGCACCTAGGAACGGATGGCAATGACACTTTCCTCAAACAACAAAAACAAAACCCAGATATTTGAATTGGAAAATTATTGCAGCTGGGGGTCATGTGTGTTTGACCCAGTGCCCCTACATCCTGCAGGCTTCTCCATTATCCTGGAAATCATGTTCCTGGCACAGCATTGAGCTGTCAGCATTATTTCATGTCTAATATTCTCTCCTGAGAAGAGGTAAGGTTGTAAAATTTAGAAGGCACCTGGAACATGACCGAGAAGGGGTGAAACAGAAAGCGGCATTGAATACAACAGGCCCTTTTGCTTTTTGGTCTATTCAACTTCCTGTAGATCCCAACATCTTTATAGGAAAGTCTAATTTCTTCTCGTATGAAATGGAGAAAAGCATCAAGGAGTTGATATTCATTAGATCCCTGGTTGGGAAATACTGGTTCGCAATCCCTCGGTCTCAAGGACCAAGTCTGAAGTTATACGTGGGAATCAGAGAATCAAAGGGTGGACGGAGAAGAAGATGGAATTAGTGGAGCATACTTGGAGGATAAAGACAGGGTAGAGGAGTCCATGGAACTTACCTGTGGGTAGAGAGGGGCTAGCCAGTCAGGGAAATATTTAAGGCAACTGTGAATGCCATCCTTCTCTTCCTCCACCTTCGTTCGGACTGCATGGAGCTCTTTAGCAGACTGTGTTTGTTCTCAGTCTGTCAACAGATGACATGCCTACTACACACCGGGCCTTGTGTGTGTCAATCATCGCCTGAGATGGAATAGTGTAACTGCTCTGCTCCCTGCTTTACAACAAAATCCGAGAGTGTGGAGCTCCCCAGCTAATATGTGTCAGACTTTGTGGTTATCAAACTGGGTCAACATTTAATGACTATGGAGGGCAGATGTTGAGTTTCTCATCCCAAGGAGAAAGGATTGCCTGAACTAAGAAGATATGGGAAGGAGTCTCTGGCCCTGAGTGAGGGCCATTCCATGTGTGGCCTCAGTCCCCATGGAAACTCTAAACTAACATAAAAAGGTTCCCCCACTAAAGGAGATAATTGATCACAAATGATCTCTCTGTCCCTCTGACGTAAGACAAGACCAGGTCTTTATATCGGGTTAGTCCTGTGCTCTCTTTAAATGATACACTAGGGGTAAAATCACTTGTGTTAGCACTGGCGAATTCAGCTGAGATCAGACCTGGAAAGACAAATTTGTATATCGAAGAAACAGAAGGAAATGACTTCATTCTTTAAAACTGTGTTTCCTGTTGACTGATTTAAATATTCAACAAAATACCCAAGATAAGGTAGTTTTTTTTGGGGGGGGGGGGGAAATAAAGGGGTGAGGCCCAAGGTCCAAGCGTTGAGTTCTATGTGGCTAGTGACTAGTCTGTGCAAGCATAGAGTAAAAGTTCATCTCACAGAACCGTGTTTTATTTTCTTCTTACTGTTGATTTTGGCAAATATGAGAATTATGACTTTGAAGACTAGAGATTCTCAAATGATCACCTGATTCATTTTCATTGTTGCTGTTGTTGTTTTGCTTTTTTTGAGACAAGGTTTCTTTGTATAGCCCTGGCTGTCCTGAAATTCTACCCTGTAGACCAGGCTAGCCTTGAATTCAGAGATCGACACCACCTCCCGACTCACCTGCGTCATTTATTGACTGAAAGTTGACGCTCATTGGGGTTAACTGTTTATGCCTGTCGACTGCAGAGTAAGTGCTGACTGGACTTGGACACGTGAGGAAGGCCTGGCTGCAGATTCCTTTATTTATTTATTTTTTTTTAAAGAAAAGATACAGGTGGGGGGCTGGAGGGATGGCTCAGCGGTTAAGAGCACTGACTGCTCTTCCAGAGGTCCTGAGTTCAAATCCCAGCAACCACATGGTGGCTCACAACCATCCGTAATGAGATTGGATGCCCTATTCTGGTGTGTCTGAAGACAGCGACAGTGTACTCATAAATAAAATAATAAATAAATCTTTAAAAAAAAAAGAAAAAAAAAAGAAAAGATACAGGTGGACTAACTTCTAGAATATGGTTTCTGGAATTGCGTCTATAGTCACCCAGAGGTTCTCCAGGAAGAACAAAGGACCAGTCTCTCCACTTGGATGTAGAACGAACATCTCTAACCTGGCATGCCTGAGACAGGGTTCCTAGTGTATCCCACTGGCCCAAAATTAGCCTTCACTCAGTTTTCCCATCTTACTGGGGTGGCTTCATCATCCACCCACATGCTTAAGGTCGACATCGAAGAGCTATTAGATTTTCCTCCCGCTCCTCAGTACCGACCAGCTGGTAGTAAGTCTTACTAGTTGTACCGACCAAACTATCTTTAGTCTTGCTGTGCCTGGCCATCTCACAACCATGACCTCATCTGCACCCTCAAGTCCTATACCACATTTAACAGTTACCTAGTCTCTCGGCTTCCCATCTCACCCTCTGCAAACCATCTTCCGTGTAACAACAACGTGGGAGTTTAGAAACATCCTCCAGACCTGTGCCTTTCCTGCTCAAAACTTGGAATAAATCAGAAATCCTTGTTCTGACTTCGGATACTGTAAGTCAGCAGTTCTCAGCCTGTGGGTCTCGACACTCTTAGGATTGTACGTCAGATACTCTGCAAAGCAGATATTAACGTAACTATTCACAGCAGTAGCAAAATTACAGTTGTGAAGGAGCAGTGGCGTTACCTGAAGCTGATAGCCTCTTTTTCTTTGATTATACGTTACATGCATATATGTTTATATATACATATTTCAGGAATATATATACGCAGACCGTACTGTATCTGTTTTTGTTGTTCCTGTGTGTGTGATCTTAAGGCTGACAAGTCTGCACCGGACAACCAAATGACAGGGCTCATCCCTGGAAAGGCTAACTCTTCCCTCCCAGCAGTCAGCAGTTACCTGTAGCTCTTTGTCTAGACATAGCCATCGACACTGCCGTTTTCCTGGTCTTGTTTATACAGCTCTGTTTAGGAGAGACTGATTCACAGCAGACTGTTTGCTATCCTGGCTCTTATGGTCTTTCTACCTACTCTTCAGAGATGTTCTCTGAGCCAAGGGTGCAGGGGCTGTATCCTTGCAGAAGTGTGTGTAACAGTAGCCATTGGGCTGGGAAGGCTACAATCCATTACTGTCTGCATTATGTCTGGTTGTGGTTTCCTGTGAAGGTCTTCATTTGCTGTACACAGAAGCGTCTTTGGTGAGAGATGGCAGCTACACTTACCTGAGTATTATCTAAGTAATGTAGTAAGGAATTATGCTGGTCTAGCACAATGTGAGTAGTAGATTCTTTTCTACGGTCCATAATCTTACTAGTCCTAGGAAGCTGGTTGGGTTTCCACTACCAGGCATGATTTCCCTGCTGTTGACTGAACAAGAAACTTCTTAAAGTTAAACATGGTAGGGAAAACAGTTTCCAGAGTCCATAAGGAATTCTGAACCCAAGAGCCGGGGAGTCCTAGAACAGTCTGTGTCCACCTGACAGTCTTACCAGCAACGTGGGAGCCAGGCGAGCAGTCGGTCGAGCGGTCAGTCCACTCCATTCTGAATTCTCCTTCTCATCTAGAAAACTCAGATTTACATTTTAGAAGGCAAGCAGGTCATTTCCTCCTTGACACCCATCCTTGAGGCCTAGTAGAGAAAAAAAAAATGCCTTTTCTTTTTCATTTTGGAGCAACAGAAACAACAACAGAGTTCAATCCTAATCACTCCAAGACAAAAACGGGGAGTAAGACACGCACCACTCCATCTCTGACAGGCCGTTACAATTTAGTTTTATTATTCAGGTCATACGGAAAATGCTAATCCCTGGGAAGGGGAGGAGGAAAGTCTCCCTTGGTTTCTTCAGCACAAGCAGCTTACTGGAAACAGGAAGAACGAGCCATACAGCTGTGACTGCAAAGGCATACTAGGAAGGGAAGGAGCAGAGCCCTTTATTTATTGTCACTGGGGAGGGAAGGGACAAGGGTGACTTCTGGATGAGTGGACTTGAGAGAAGGGAAGGTAGGTGGGCACACCTTCCCCAGCGCATGAGCCCAGTGCTAAGCCATCAGTGAGATGCGAGCGCTTTCTTTGTGATGCTTTCTGATATGGCGGCTTGGTGATCATTTTTAGAGCAGTGTTAGAATCCAACCATCGAAGTAACTTCTATCACATGTTGTAGCCCGTCTCACCTCCTGCAAATAAATAATACAAAGGGGTTGGGGAGCTGGCTCGGTTGTTAAGCACATACCACACAAACATAACAACCAGAGTTGGGATTGCCAGAACGTAATTAAATACTGTAAATGTCTGCTAGGCATGGTGCCTGTCTATAAGTCTTGCCTCAGAAGGCAGAGGCAAAATCCACCGGACAAAGACTAGCTATTGTTGGACTTTGGGTTTGATTTAGAGACTCTGGCTCAATGAATAAGGTAGAAAAATAACGGAGGGGGTGTGGGTTCCTGACTTCCATCAACTTTGGGCCTCCACATGCACAGACGTGTGACTACACACATGCATACACACACACACCCTCTTGTACACCCACATAGACATAAATGAAAATGGCGAAAGAAAAAAAATATGTGTAAAGCATGTCCTGGGGTTTTTCATTTATATCAGGAATAGACTCTAAGGGCTGAGTCAACGGCTCAGACAGTAAAATGTCTACCGCACAAGCAATAGGACCTGAGTTCAGACGCCCAGGACCCATGCAACAAGAAGCTGGCTGTGGTAGTACAAGGCTGTAACCCCAGCACTAGGGTCATAGACACAGGTGGATCCTCTGAGAGCATTAGCCAGGCACCCTGGAAGAATCCAAGATCTCCAGGTTCAGTGAGAGACGCCGTCTCAGAAAAAAACAAGGTGGGAAGTGATTGAGGGAGACACGTAGCATACACCTCTGACCCTCCCATGCACGTCTGCCCACACATGCATACGCACACCACATGCGCGTGTGCAAACACGAACATGCACGCTCACAAATAAAAATAAAATGATGGTCGCTATCTAGAGTCTGAGCATATGTCAATGGGATGGACTGGAAAGGTGGTTAAAGGTTTTAACGTCCACTAAAATTCCTTTAAGAAGGGAAACACGCCGACAGTGTTCTAATCCTCGCTTTGCTTAGCAGATATTTTGAGATTTACGGAACACTCAGATCTTCTGTCTTAGACAGCAGGGACAGGACACGTGAGTGTGAGGAGGAGGCCATTTGCAGAATGGACAGGGAGAGAGAAGAGCTAGGGTGGCCTGGCTCAACCTTCTGCTTTGATCTCTTGCTCTTTGAATCCTACGGAAGATCACAGGCACTGTTTCTCAGGTTTGTCTGCAAACCTCACTGTATGCTGAGGTTTCTTTCTCTTCTGGTTGTGCTTCGTCAGCAAAACTGGTCCTGCTGGCAAGCTGAGCTTTCTGCCCCACACACCTGACAACTGGATCCCTATGATTACTGAGAGAAGGTTTTTCTCCTCAGCTCTCAAAAGAATTAAGTGGAAGACAAGGGAGGACCTAAGAGGGAACCGGGTTGGGGTGGCCATAGGGGTGGAGTACTCTTCTCAACTCTGCCTACAGGTGTGGCTACCCTTCTTCTCAAGCCACAGGCTCTCGGAACAATGGGGCGCAGAGGAATTCAAAATGAAGAGCCCAGCGGCCTTTCTTTGGGACCTGTGCTCCAATTTCCTTCACTCCAACCTGCTTTCATTTGATAGCACAGGCATTTGCTCCTGGGCCTATGTTCATGGCCGCTAACATGGGTATAATGAAAAGGATTAGTGCTATCTTCACACCTCTTTGTTTTCTAAAAGAAAAAAAAAAAAAGATTCCATTTCTGAGTTTAACTTGCTGGGAGAATATGAAAAACCTGCATGCCAGCTTTTTTTTTTTCAACGAAGGTTCGTGTTTCCTCAATCTTTGAAGGAATCTTTGAAGGAAGAGCTCTTTGCTCTTTGAAACGAGATGATTCGCCTCACATTGTAAGTTTCTCATTGTCAAGTTCAATGTCAAGGGAAGAGGCAATGGGTGAATTGTAAGCCACAATGGGAGGGGATTTCTACACGACTGAGCGAGGAGGTTGAAGAAAGCGAACTGAAGCCCGTGCGGCTTCTTCTCGATAAAAACACGGAGCTAATGACAATTCCTCTGTAACTATGGGGGTCTTTCCATTCTGCTCAGTGTGGTCTCTGCTGCCGTTTCTTACTTTGGCCAAATCTCTCCTGCACTGCTTCTTTCGTACCATAGGGAAGGCCGCACGTACCTACGCAGGCCCGGCCTATTTACCCACGCAGGAAGGTACTCGAGATGAAACTTGCTCTTGCCTCAGATTAATTCATTTAGCGTCAGAGGTCAAGATAAAGTAGCTCAAGGTCATTTTGTGGTCTTAGATGGCCCCGTGCCGACTGTGGGTTGTTCCAGAGGAGCCGGGGATGTGTGTGCGCCCATTGCTACTGCTAGAATAACTGGCTGCTGGGTGCAACGGATAGCCAAGATGGATCCGGATGGAACAAGACTTGCCAAGAGAGGCTGAGTCTGACTGCAGAGAGAATTTCTTTACACTCTGGTGATTGACTCATGCGAATCTTTATGAGAGATGGGGAACTGGACTCTGGTGAAGGCTGGGAGCCCTGCTGGAGAGAGGTCAGGCTAAGGTCCTGCTGTGGACACCAACATTGCTTCTGCTGAACTTCTGTCACACTGCAGGCTGCTCAATTGAGCATCATATTCGTCCCCTTTCTTGTAACTATGACCAAATACCCGGTGAAGCAACTTAAGGAAGGGAAAGGTACCATACACTCCACGTGACAGAGGAGGTCCCTGGCGGTGGAAGGCTGTTTGCATAATGAGAAGACCAAGAAGGAGAGAAAAAGGAATGATAGCTTTCTCCTTTCTCCCCCTTTTATTCAAGCTGGGACAACAGCTCATGAGACAGTGCCATATTTAGGATAGGCTTAACCCTCTCTGGAAATGCTTTGCTTCTTCCACTAATGCCCTAGGTCTTTCTTCACTCTTGAACATAGCCAAAAGGCTGAGGATTGATGAGTTTTTTACCCAATCAAGCTGATAATCAAAATTAACAACTCATGCTAGTCACGGAGTCACATGACTATAATCCTAACACTTGGGAGTGGAGGATCAGAATTTCAAGGTTATCTTTGGCCAATAGGGATGATGAAGCTGGGCTACATGAAATGGTTGGAAATAACCATCACGATTACTGCCCGGTCCCTTTGCTTCACTCACTAGCTCCTGGGAGGACCTGGGTTCTGCATTTTCCCCCAATGCCAAGAGAGGTGAGAAGATGGCCTGGGGCATTTCAGATGTTAGTAGGAAGTCAGTTTGCCTCCTGATGTTGGGGATTCTCCAAGCACAGGAAGAGGGTACATCTTGGGCAACCCCAAAAGTGACAGATGTCACTCTCACACTGGAGAGAGACTATATTGTCACCTTCTAGAGGAACCAGACTTAGCACAATGCCCTCAGCCATAGAGACACCTACCTCTGATCATGAATGCCCTCCTGATATGCCACGAGGTGTTTCCAGGGATTCAGATTGACTGGCAAGTTGAACAACTTTTCATAGGGCTTGCTTTCTTCGAGCTCTGCTTCTTCCACTAAGCCCACTGTAACTGTTATATTCACACTCTCTGTGTAACGGATGATGGGGTTCTTTATAGCCTTACCACCCACCAGATGCAGAGCTCTTTCTGACCCCCACATGACATCATAATTTGCATGCTCTAAAAGAAATGAGGAAATGATGTATGCAAATCCTGGGGTCTCCGTAAAGTTAGAGAAAAGGCATCACTGGCATTTCACTGTGAATGTTGCAAGCCTGGTACTCAGGAGCAGCAAGCAGTGTAATCTATAGCCCTATTGGACAGGACGGCTCTTTCTAGTTGCTTCTCGATAAAGGGGAAGGCTTGGAGTGGCATGGATAGACAAACCATGCATTTTCTGTGAAACAAGGAACGCACTGGGGGCCGAAATAGTGAAGTTATCAAATATCTTACATACAAACTGCTACCTTAAAAGGACTGCCGCACAAGCAATGGCTTTCTCCCGGATAATAATGTTTGCTATTTTAATGTACAATATGGCACTTTGCAGACACAGGGAACTCAATGCATTTTCCTTGGTGGTGAGAACAGCTGGAGCTAACATAAATTGTCTCTTATTTTGGTAACAAAAGCCTTGGCATTTATTATCTTCTTGGAAGCCATAGAGGTATTTTAAAATAGGACACTAAAAATGTGGGTATCATTACCAATTTTGAGGCGCTCACAATAAGATTATTATCATCTACCAAAACACAGCCCCTGCATTTCACACACCCAACTTCCTGGTAATGTTAGCAGCTCAAACAGCCATAAGTTAATTTAAACTAAGGATTAGCAGTTGGCACAAACCACTAACTAAACTGCAGAGTTCTTTTAGCTTCCGCCCATCTCATCTCAATGAGAGACACCAACACCAGTTCGAGCTACACGGTCTAACACTTTGGTATCAAAACTACATTAATTCAGACTGAATGGGATTACACACAAGATGGCTCTGGAAGGCCAGAATATCTAGCATTTTTCTATGCCAAATGCAGGGCCAAATGCTTAGTATGTTATATTCTGATTTCTCCTTCTCAGAAATCAAGGGTCGGGGAGGCACTGGATGTTATCCTGACAGTGTTAGCGATGCTATAGTCAGTCCTAAGATGCCAAGCAATATTTGCAAGACAGCTAGCTCTTCGCGAGCCAGACCGGGACTAGGGTCTTTCCTGGTCTCTCAAGGTTTCTTCCTCAGCACCTCGATCCCTTCTTTCTCTGCGCATGCGTATTTATGTGCATACAGCGGAGAGAGGTCAACCTGAGACTTTGCTCAGTACAGCCCACCTTATTTGGCCTAAGGCCTTTCTTAGCCCAAGGTCTTACTGCACTCTTGTACAGGATTCCAACTGAGGACATTCATTCCGGTTATGAAGACATTGAGCCAGATCTGCCCCGAGTCCTGCTTCCAAACGTCATGCGGATCACCTAGAGCAGGTAACCTCAGTGGGGTGGATGAGTATCCTGAGTCAGTAATGAATATGGGGTTTTCTGAGGCAGGTAGAAGGGGTTTCAACTATGCAGAAGCCCCCACTTTCTCCCTGGGTGAGGGTGGACCTTGGCGAGGGCGGGGCTGGACGAGGGCAGGGCTATCCTGTTCTTCAGCCAGAGCATGGAGGCGCATGTTGCAAACATTCCCGCTGCCTTTGGCTTTCCTTTTCTGAGTGTTTTAAGGCTTAATTAATGCGTGTAAAGTGATCTGAAACACGGGAATGAAAAGAGCCAGGGACCCGCAGAGTGCCCATGATTACCTGAGGCCAGACAGCTGTAAAAGGGAACCAGAGGGGGGCCTGGAGAGGCTGGGTGAGGACTCCGCTCAGCAGCCAACTGGCTGGCCCCACGCCAACTTGGACCGTTTTTTGGCAGAGTTTGGTCCCATGCCTTCCTCTCAAAGGCTTACAAGGCAACTCTACTCAGGAGAAATAATTCTTTAGGGATTTGAACTGGAGCGGAAGAACCAGAGTGAAGATAGAAACTACGGCCATTTTCATGAGTCAACTCCACAGTGGAGGAGACGGGAGACAACACTCATCCACCCCTCTTGTCAAAGCAAGACAACGGCAAATTCCTACATTTCGGGGGCCATGAAGAGATGCACAGAGAAACATCAAAGAGATGAATGAGTCACAGCTTTCCTCTTGACAGGAGGCTCAGCAGCAGTCCCATCACCTGTAGGAGGCAATGAATCTCTTTAAAATGGTGGGAGGAAATAATGAAGTCCCAGGACCCACGCTGTTGCCCTATCTCCTCCGTGTGTTAGCAAAGGGGTGAGGCTATCAGCCTCACGGGGGATGTTAAGGCTGTGACTCCACAGGGTGATGTCAAGTGGCACCTATTGCAATTTGAAGCAGGCAGAGAAGCAAGCCGCAACTCTTTCTTCCATGATAGCCTGATTCACAACGTTTGAGAGAATCCAGCACAGAGAGAGGGCCCCTGCACATGCCTGTGGACATAAACAGCGGATGGATATATACATATACATATACATATACATATACATATACATATACATATACATATATATATGAACCCAAACTGTTTATGATGATAGAGTTGGCAAAAAGGGTTGTTTGGGTAACCTGAAGTTTCTGTTAGGTCTTCATTGTGTTTCATTCAGTGTCCTTCCATATACCTCAACCCTGACTGGCTTTTACTGTCTGCTGTCACTCATGGGTCTCCTGAGGGTCCTCTGAATGAATTCCTTCATATAAACATCTGAAGTAGTATCATAGTATCTCCAGTAAGTCACCTCAGTTCTGTCATGTAAATGAAGACAGATCTAAATCATCCCCCCACGGGGTTCAAGAATGATTCCTGCATCATTTGCAACATGGTGAAGTTCATTTTGTGTGTTAGCTGTCCTGAGTTACAGAGTGGCCTCATACCTACTCAGACACTGTTCCGAGTGTGTTTGTGAGGGTGTTTTGGGGTGAGATTATCCTGGAACTGTTAGCCTGAGTAAAGCTGATAACCCTCTATATTGTGGGTGGGCCTTATCCAACCAGCCAAAGGCATAAATAGAACAGGCAGGTCTTCTCCTGAGAAAGAGCCCTCTCAATCTGGGGCCCTTACACTGGGACATTTTTTTCCCTGCCTCTGGATTTGCCCCAAATTTTTGCCTGCCTCTGGATTTTGCTCATCTGGATTTGAGCCTGCTGATAATCACACTAGAACTATGCCATTAGCCCTGCTGGGCCTGCAGTATGCTAATACAAGGCTTAGGATAGATCAGCCTCCCTAGTTGCATAAGAAAATTATGTCTTGTTTTAAGACAGTGCCTCACTATGTAGATGTGGCTATCATTGAACTCACAGAGATCCGTCTGTCTCTGCCTCTCAAATGCTGGGATTAAACGTGCTACACCCATCTGGCATAGCTAAATTAGTATAATAAATCTCAACCAACTTTCCTTGCCTCCTTCCTTTTTGGAGCTGGTCTTTTGCTACTTTGTGGGTTCTTCTTTCTTCTACCCTTCTCTACCCTTTCCCCATCTCCTTTAACCCCCTAACACTACATACACACGAGAGATAAAAGGATACAGGGAAGAGAGGAAAGAGATTTCTGAATAAAGTCATGGGTCGTTAGACTACTTCCTGCTGACTAGGGGCACTGAGTTCTGTGGGGGCAAAGTTTGATCTTTTTGACACCAGGATATCTAATTTCTTCTCGTTGTCTCTTCGTTTTCTTTGCGCACAACTACTTAACAAACTGTGACCAATGACAACCAACAGCCAACAACCCAACAACCCACTATGCTTCTCGGGGCCCTAGCATTTATATAATCCCTGAAGAGCCCCCAGAATTACAAACATCACACAATCACAGAAACTATCTGCAGCTGGGGAAAGAAAAATCCCTCCCCTGCTAGAGCATGGGGCAAATCATAGGCAGCTTCCTGCTTTGTCTCTCTTATAGGCTCTTCCTCCAGAGAACCCTGAACCAATGCAAATACCTTCTTTCAACACTTTACTAGTTCATTTAACTTTTTTTTTTTTTTTTTGGACACAGGGTCTCTGGCTATGCAGCCTAGGATGACCTTGAATTTCTTAATCTTACGACCTTCTGCTGGGATCACAGATAAGTGCCGGTTGGTGTGGGGCTTGGAATCTAATTGGGGGGGTTCCTGCATGCTAGGTAAAGCACTCTACCTACTAAGTCACACCCCAGTCCCTCATTAAAAAAAAATGAGCACGTACTATATATATCAGATACTGTTTTGTTTTTGTTTCAAGACAGGGTCTCACTCTGTAGACAAGGCTAGCCTCAAACTCTCAGCTGTTCCGTTGCCTTGACCGTCAATGTGACGAGATTAAAGGTATTAGCTAGCATAGCCTGCTCAGACACTTTTATGTTCTTGACAAATCTCAGTGGGGGAAAAAATAACAAAGCTTCCTGGCACTGGGGAACTTCTGCTGCTATGCGTGGAGGAGACAGTGGATTATAAAGATCATACATCAAAAGTGTTAGAAAGTGGTCAGCTCAAAGACAGAGGGAGGGTCAGAGGAAGAAGCAAGAGACACTGGAGAAGGGACACTGGGCAAGGGCTTACGGGACATAAAGGGGTTGGTCATGTGGAGACCGCGGTCACCTTCAAAGATCAAGGCACCCAGGCCCAGGATTTACATCAGCTCCTCAAGTGACAGTGTCTTGCTTAGACCAGCCTCCCTCTTCTGACCCTCCATGGCTTGGCAATGCTTGAAATGTTCCCTCCAGTGGATTTCTCTTTCTCCATTCTTCCGTGCACCATGGTGAAGTTACTCAGGGATTAATCCCAGCAGAAACCTAAAAGTTCCAAGGTGAACAGTTCAAGGGAAGTGGTTGTTTATTGGGCCCAGGCCCTGAGGTTAACCTGTAGTAGATTCATGGAGGGACAGCCCAGCATATGATGCCATCGGGAAGAAGGAGCGAAGACCTCCTCTGGCCTGCCTCTCCCTGCTATTCTTCATTTTCCTTTCTGGGCCATACTTAGCCAGCAGTCAACCAATCGGGGATTCTTTGATACCTGGATGGGCAAAGATAGCCTCAGCAACTCAGAGGAGAATGTGCTTAAGAATGGCTCAGAGGATGACTGTTGCCAAGGCAGGGACAGTTGGCACTCAGGATGGGGCAGCAAGGACATAATTCAATTGCAGTGGTGTGGCCACTACAGTTGTTTGCTTTAAGGACATTTGTGCCAGTTAATTTTTGTCAACTCCACACAAACCAGAGTCACCTGGGAACAGGGGGGCACTCGGTTGAAGAATCGGCTCCATTAGAATGGCCTGTCCCATATCTGTGGGGCATTTTTCTTTTTAGCTGATTGATGTGGGAGGGTCCATAATACCCAGTGAGTGGGCAATGCCATCCCTGAGGAAGTAGGTCTGGCTGTATATATATAAAAACATAACTGAGCAAGCCAGAGGAAAAGCAAGCCAGTAAGTAGTGTTCCTCTGTGGTCTCGGCTTCAGTTTCTGCCTCCAGGTTCCTAGTCGACTTCTCTCAGTGATGGATTATGACCTGGGAATTGTAAGATGAAATAAACTCTTCCACAGGCTGCCTCTGGCCGGTGTTTTATCACAGCAACGGAGAGGCAAACTAGGATGATTTCATTTCCATTCTCACCGCCTAGAGTAATACCTTGTGTAATGCTGGATGGAGTCACAGTTGGAGGAATGGGTGAATTTGAGAAGGAATGAATGAATGACTGTCTCCAGCCTTGAGCCCGCTTAGTAACCGCATCTCACGGTTCCCTGTCGGTGCTAAGGTTACTCGGATCCTACCGTTCACACCATTTTTAAGGCTGGCATGACTATAAAGTCATTAGTGTTTCCAAAGAGAGATCAGACAAACCCATCAGGTGAATTTTACACAAGTCCTTCTAAGCAGTTCACCAGGAAGGCGCATACACCTCCCGATACCCTTCCCTGACCGGCCCCTTCTTCAGCAGCTGTTCTCACTGTTCCACGTTTCTGTCTTCGAGGTTCGATGTCATTCAGCCCTTCACCTGGCTAGCAACAGGTTGGGACACATCATGAGAAGTGACACTTGGGTTTTGGCAGAAAGGAGGAGGAAGTGGAAGGCCACAAACTGATCTGGCTGCTGACTTTCCCACGGGTACCGGAGAGCTGAGAAGTGACCCCCCAAAAGGCCATCGGATGTCAGGTTCTGCTAGGTCAGCTCAGGGACATTCTGGGCCTCACTAATGGCTCACCTTATATCTAAGATACTCGACTTCGGGGCTCACAAAGCCTTTCAGAGGGGACACTAGAAAGTGATCAGTTTCTACTGCAGATACATACTCCCTGTGTATAAAATGGAGTCAGTAGTGTCTCTGAGACAGAAAAAAAACAAACAAACAGACAAACAACAGCAGCAAAACAGTGTACTAGGGTGACTGAGGCACTTACTTAGCCTGCAGCTGGAAGCCCCAGGAGAGACACCTGAATGGTCCAGGTCCTGCTAGCAAAATTCCTAAGCAGAGACTAAAATATTCTCAAGTAGCTTCCTGTGGCCATGCTATAGACTGGGGCTCTGCTACAGGTAAGAAAGAGGGATGCTGGAAACCTACCTGCATTCCCACAGCGCTTGCAGAGAGGTAGGAGGGGCCAGACGGTACGCTCTGAAGACCAGGATTTGCTGCAAGGGGTTGGGGTTGGGGGTGGGGGTGGGGGTGGTAGAGAGACCTGAGGCTGACATTCCATCAGCTCTGGTCACCAGCTGGGTGGCTTTGGACCAGTCCTTTGCTGAATCTCCATTGTCTCCTTTGAAAGGCCGGAATTAGTTTTGTTTTCTCTTGGAGGCGTGGTAAAGATCACAGGGGAAGTACTCTGAAGGTGGGTAAAAGTACAGCCCTAGGTGTGAAAAGAGTTCCCTGTGATACCCAGTTAATAATGTTTAAAAATCTTCCATTTCATTTAGCTAGCCATCACTGGAAAGGAGAGGGTGACAACACTTTTCAAAAGGACATTTTCTGCTCTCAAAATAGAAGTCAGAAGCCTCGGTTTTAGTTTTCTTTTTGGTGTAAACCACAGCACCCCGACCGACCGTTGCTGCTATTAGCAGTCTGACTGAATCGTGACCTTCTAACTTGGTGGTATCTGGAGACTGAAAGAATCCTTGAAGGAATGGATACTTTCGGTTGCCAAGTTCTTCAAACAGGTTTCCTCCAACTAAAGCACAGCTATCATGAACTAGGGGGTAATGGAATTGTCTTCTTAAAGGAGGAACCTGCAAGATTTAAGTGACCTTCCAGGTGGGCCACAGTAAATACAAAACCAAAAAGTTGCCGAGAGCCAGGAGGGTGGAAGGTTGGGGTGGAGGTGGGGCTGGGGCTGGAAGCCGTTGGTTTAGTGCACTCTTGTAAGGTAACACTCTTTTTCAGAAAGAAACGTGGAATTTTCACAGTCCTCCTAATGGCACACGAGCTGATCTGTGAATCAATCCAGGATCATAATTTACTTTTGGTTTATGGGATTTGTGAATTTTCGCATTTGTTTTAATTTGTAATTAAGTTTTCTCTAGGAGGCACACCATATGCCACCATTAATTCTCTCTAGTTGATTTCTTAGGAGATACATGGGTGCATATTTTGATGTAATTTTGGAGGTCTTTTGAAAATCAGATGACTACGTGGTGAGCCATATGGGGCTTTGTTATTTAAAACACAAATTATAAAGCTAGAGAAAGCAAAATGAGGAGGGGGGGGACTGCCAACGGGGGCCAATGGGGGGGGGGCGCCGGGTTTCAAGCGCACAAATGGTCCACTTTTTTTTTTTTCCTCCCTGATAGTCTGAAATCTCTGAGGATCCCGCGATGTCTCTTACCTTCTGTGAGCGCACTCTATACCACAGGTGCACGGAGCAGAGCAAACCTCCCGGCCACGCTCGTGCTTTCCGCCCGGGCTGCAGATTCTAGCATCTGCCTTCTGGGAACTCGGCTGGAGCCAGCGCCTTTCTTTGCACACCCAGGCTTTGGCACTGAGCTCCTCTGTCTCCGCACCCACGGCGACCCGGCTTTCCCGCTTGTGCTTTCCCGGGGCTCCCCCCCACCCCTCCCCGGCCGCCCCGCAGTACGTGCAGGCTGCAGAGCGGGCCGAGGCCCGGGCGGCGAGCGCTAGGACCCAGCAGGACTCCGGGCCCGGGTGGGAGCCGAGCCGCCGACCCCGGGCAGGCGCCGGGCGCTGGAGCCGGGTGTTCCGGCCGCGGTCGGTGCAGCTCGGCTGGGAGACGGCGCGAGCCGGCGGCGGGGCCCCCCGCGAGTCCAGCGCCGCCGCAGCCCCCCAATGCGGCCGCGAGAAGCAGCTGGGGGGATAGGCGATCGAAGGTAAGGAAAATGCGGTTCGCTGGCTGCCTAGCGAGCCTCTGCCCCGGTTAGCATTGTCACCCCGAGCCTCGCTGCCCAGGCTGCCCATTTTGGGGGGCACCCTTAGCTTTTTATCTTAAGGTGTCCGCCCCCATCTGTGCACCTAGTTTCGGATTGATTTATAGCATGCAGCCCAGAATGGGAAAGATCCAGGGATGGCGAGTTGCTTATTTTCATTAGTTTTTGTCTCAAAAGTAAGTTCATTTAAAAAAAAGAAAGAAAAGACAAGAAAGAAAAGTTTTTTTCTAGGATTTGTAGATAGCTGCTTTTACATTTTTATTTTAAAAAATCGCAGACAATGGATATTTATAAAAATTACCGAATAATTGATGTCATTCTGTTAATGATTTCGGAGGGAGGCGGCTTTGGAGGGTCCCCAGGCATGACTTGTATTTTCAAGGAACCAACGTGTTAAATGTGGAGTTTGGCTGGGGCAGAGTTACAGCATCGCTGTCGTAACTGTTTTGCTATCAATTATAAACAGAGTGTCTATGGGCAGTTTAAACCTCTTTTTCAAATACCGGAGCTGCATATCCCGGCGTGACATGGACAAACCGGAGTGTCCGTTGAAGGAAGCAGGAGTGTTTCTGGTTTTGGAGAAAAACGTTGTTTTGAGGAGAAAAACCCAGATTCCTAGCCCGGGAGACTATTTTTCATGCTTTGTTTATAGTCTGGGAATGACATTTGGGAAAGGGGAACGCGGTCTTTCTTGGGAGCTTTTAATCGTGGGGGTTATTAATTTATTTAATTTATTAGTTTCAATTGGTTGGGCTCCGGGAGCCTTCCGTCACCAGGTTGTGCTAGCATTGGGACACATGATTGCGAAGGCGAAACTGCTAGCTCGGAAAGGACTGGACCGGGCTGGTGGAAGCTCCCCCGTGGCGCTGTTGTAGGCTGGGTGCTACTGGCTCATTGAGGAAAATGGGAATGGCTTTCCGAGCTGAGGAAGACATCAGTATTTCCCTTTTGTTCCCTGTTTTTTCATTGATCTCCAGCTCTGCCTTAGCCAGGGGGAGCAGCTCTGAGGGTGCAGAGAGCCCTGAAGACCCGCACAAATGTCTGGAGCCCACTCTAACTCTCACACTGATTGGTCAGTCAGATGGGGACTTAGGAAAACAGTCACCCGAAACCTTTTAAAACCTTGTCTTAATTTCAGATCTGCCTGCTTGTACATGGGTTCCTTCGAGGTTGCTTTTTTTGATCCGGGTGCATCTGGCTCGCTCCGGGTGTCTTTATCTTTAATTTTTTGTTGTTGTTTCTATCCAGATAAAGTAGGCCATTTTGGTGACAAATTTCTTTGCAGATGTCAGCTTCTAGCTTGCATTGATAGATGTGGGGCTTCACAATACCCGCTCAGTGATTTCTGTTCATAAGTTGTAGAATGCAAAGTTGCTCAACTTGGAATTAATTTTTTCCTAATTTTTTTTCATCTGAACATTTAAATAGCTACGCCAACAGATGGAAGCTTAACTGTATCATTACTTTGATAATTTAAGTGCCTTGTGAATTAGCATGTTTCTCGCGCTAAATCTAAGTCTTTAGACAGTGAATGAGAAAACAGACAATGAGGGGCAAGCAGTCATGATCGGCTTGCAGACTGTTGCAAGAAATTGTGGCGTCTGCTTTGAGCAGAATACATTCACATCCAAGAAAAGGGTGGGGGGGGGAGGGTTCTTTTACCACGGAAGGCTGAATTAGAGAGAGGGATGAAGCGGATCCCTGTAAGACAGCCTGCCGCCTCTGGATATCTTCATTTGAGCCTTAAAGTGTCTCATTAAAGAAGCTGGGTCCCAGAAGTTGTTAACCGTATAAACACTTTTCTGATTGGTTTAAATATTTAGACACAGGAAGTAGATGGTATCTAGTAACCCAGGAATGGAGACATGGTTGTCATAGAAACTGAGAAGTGTCACCCCACCCCACCCCCACCACACATGCATTCACTACCATGACCACCACTTTAAAAAAAAAAAAAAAAAAAAAAAAGCAAGCCCTGCAAGTCATCACAGATGCCTGGAGAACTTGCTGGCTTCTGTTAGCTTTCCTACAACATCTGTTGAAACCCGAGACCATGCCTGTCAAACCAAGGTCATTTTACAACAACAACCCAAAACGCAGCCCTCTGGATTTCATAACTGTATTTTTATTGAAAGTAGTTCAGGGAAGAGCCTGAAAGCCAGGGTGAGCGTTCTTGCTTACTTAGCATTTTGTATCCTCTGAGTTGAGCAAGGGGAAGGCTGCAAAGAATACATTTGAGCCATTAGTTGTAGAACTGTGTGTATGCTTCTAGAGGTGTGTGTCCACTGTTAGAACAAAAGTCCTTTTTACAGACCAGAGTGCAGCCTATAGAGGAAGGGTCATTTGGCAGAGGCGTCATGAAGTGTTTCCCTGCTTTCAGGCCGGTTCCAGGTGGAGCTGAGGTGTTTGATCCGGAAGGACTCTGGGATTTTGGACAGGTTCTCTCAGGCTGTCTGGGGCTCAGGGGAGCAAAGGGCAGTTCTTGGTGGCTGAGCAGGGGGAGGAAGTGCTCTTAAGTGGGGTGAGGACCCAGACTGCAAATACGGCTGCCCGGTTGATTTAGAAGCATTTCCTTTTCTGTGAATGGAGAGCCATGCTTTCATTTTGAGGCTGTTTGGGGGGGAAGGGAGGGGATCCCCCAAGCCACTAGCACCCATATCAGCTCTATCTTATTCATGGTGAGGAATATCCAGGAGAGAAGTTTAACCACCTCCCCCAGTGCCCCCTTTTCATTCATTTTGCTGATCGGAAAGTAACCAGGCATACGTCTTGACTTTGAAGCCCGTCAGTAAAAGTTGTCGATACCACAATCGACACATTTGCTGGAATTTGACCCGCTGTGGCTGTGTCAGTGCCAATCTTTAAATTGTAAGAGTTTTTAAATATTCATTTTATTATTATGATTATTGTTAATTTTGCATAGGTGTATGTATCTGCATGTGGGTATGGACACATATCAGAGAGGTCCTTGGAGCTGAAGTTACAGACTGCTGTGAGCTGTCTCATGTAGGCACTGGGATCCGAACACGGATCCTTTGGAAGAGACCTCTTAACTACTGAGCCATCTCTCCAGACCCCCTTTTAAAATATTCATTCATTCATTCATTCATTCATTCATTCATTCATTCATTCAAGACAGGATTCTTCTGTGTAGCCCTGGCTGCCCTGGAACTCACTCTGTAGAGGAGGTTGGCCTCAAACTCATGGAGATCAGCCTGCCTCTGTATTCCAAGTGCTGGGATTAAAGGTGTGCTTCTACCACCCCCCACCTTGCCAGACTCCTAAATTTCAATTTCTTTATATTTGTGTAGAAATAACTTCTCTCCATACATGGTATATTTAGCGCCGCACTATTCTCCCCCACACCCCCCCTTAAAACGGTTTTAAAACTTATTTAGATTGCAGTTTGGTCCTTCTAAAAGAACATCACATCTCCCCTGTTTTCCTCAACTGATGGCCTCAAGGGTGGGGGGAGAGATGAAAGAGCTACTAAATGTGTTTTAATGCTTATTTAATATCCTATATTGATGGCGTAGGAAACAGCTTGGAGCCATGGAGTGGCCGTGATCCGATTGCGGGTGTAGTTCACCATCCCACATTATCAAATATTTGGTGCTTCAAGACTTGATGGCATAACTGGTCCCTCTCAGCAAAGGATTTCCTGTTGAGGACTTATCTGCCAAGTACGGCAAACTGCCATTGGCAGGAAACCTGTCAGTTGCTTGTTTTTACAAACTGAAGGAAGTAAATGAGACTTGTTAGTTTCCAGAATCGACCTGGACTCGCTCGCTCCAGCCTGCCCTCCACCCCCCCCCACGCCCCAGAGTTTGCTCAGCTCGAAGAAGGTGACCATGAGTTGTACGGACAGAGAGCTCGCTTCAAATCATTGGCACTTCTGTGAATTTCTATTTTGACTTCAGAATTAGAAGAATTAATCCTTACGCTGTCAGGTACCGCTTCGTTCGCCAATACAAATGAGCAAGGTACTCGGTGAAGTCCTAACTCATCCCCCGTTGTCAGGAAGTCACTGACAGAGTCACTGAAGCTGCCATTGTTTTTCTGGCTGTGCCAAATTTTTAACAGTAGTTCTAGAATACCAACCAAATGCCAAAGGAGGGAGGGAGGGAAGAAGGGAGGGGGAGAGGGAGGGGGGGCACTGTCCTTCCCTCCTTGCTTCTGAGGGGGAAAAAATTCACAAAGACCATATTTCAGGTATGTGCCAACCTCGCTGGTAGCAGGAAGCACAAGGTAGGTGCGGGTTTGTAAAAAGGCACTTGAGAGAGAAACATCACAACTTTGAAAGCATTTACTATTTGAAATAATTATTTCATTTTTTTTTAAACGTTGGTTAAGCACGTGTTTAATTGCTTCAGTTCATGAATGTTCTATACTCTGGAGGGGTAGGAAGCCTCTTTATAGGCTGTAAGTACGTAGACCCTCATAATAGAACCAGCTCTTGGAATGGACCGCACACGTTTTCTCAGCCATCGTTTCTGTTTTGTAGTTAGTACCAAGTAGAATCTTAAGCAAGACCCTGATATCTGAATTGAATCAAAGAAGAGCTAGCTTCTCTAGAGGAACCAGGAGCCCAGAGGTGGTGACCACGCTCCAGGCAGCACCTGGGGCTAGCCCTAGAACTCAGAGCTCTGCCAACAGAGTTGCAAACCCACTGCTTTTAAAATGTCCCAAATACTCTCCTAAGGAAGCCGGAGGGAACTGCCTTCAGGGCCCTGTGCCAGCTCAGCTAAAAAGAACTTTTGCCTGGGCAATTTCAGAGGACCCTTGTTCTCAGAGAGAGGAGGAGGGGAAAGGTAACAATCATTTATGTCTCTCAAGACATCCTGAGAAACTACTGGGAACCCAGAGAAAGGTCTGACCAGTCGCTACATAAAAAGGCCCAGACCCGTTATAGTGACAGAGGGGCAAGTCTTTTTTAGGGGTGT